ACTACTGCTGCTGCTGCTGCTGCTGCTGTGGACGCTACTGCAGCAGCAACCCTGTGAACTCCAGCAGCAACAGCAGCAACACTAGCAGCAGAAGCAGCAGCAGCAACACCAGCAGCAGCGCTATCAGCAGCAGAAGCACCGTGTGTGTGCTAAACCCTAAACCCTAAACCCTAAACCCTAAACCCTCGGCTTCAAACCCTTTCGTATGTTTACCTTATGGGTCTTCTCGGCTTGTGGTCAAGGACGACGAGGGTTTAGGGTTTAGGGTTTTAGGGTTTAGGGTTTAGGGTTTATAAGATAGCATTGAGGGCACAAGCCCTATCGCTGCGTTGCTGCAGCAGCAAAACCCTAAACCCTAAACCCTAAACCCTAAACCCTAGATTAGTGTTTAACAATGGCGGGTCCTCGTTATAAACCCTTTCAGTTTATCTGGAACAGGTAAACCCTCCTCTCCCTCTACCTGCTTATCACCCGAGGGTTTAGGGTTTACGAGGGTTTAGGGTTTACGAGGGTTTAGGGTTTACGAGGGTTTACGAGGGTTTGTGTTCAGGTTCAGCTACAGCGCCTTTCACATCCGCAGAGAAAGATTCTATGATCGCATTTATGCTGTTGTTGCTGCTGCTATGATTGGCTTCACTGTCTTTCAGGGTAAACCCTAAACCCTCGTAAACCCTAAACCCTAAACCCTCGTAAACCCTAAACCCTAAACCCTCGGAAACCCTAAACCCTAAACCCTCGGAAACACTAAACCATCGGAAACACTAAACCATAGGACATTCTAAACCATCGGAAACCCTAAACCCTCATAAACCCTTGTAAACCCTCATAAACCCTTGTAAACCCTCGTAAACCCTCGTAAACCCTCATAAACCCCGATAAACTATAAACCCTAAGGGGAACCCTAGAAATCAGTTTTACTCTTTAGGGTTTAGGAGTAGCGAGGGGTGAGGGTTTAGATCTTTCGGTGTGTTGGGCTTTAGGGTTTAGGGTTTGTGAGGGTTTAGGGTTTGTGAGGGTTTAGGGTTTATGAGGGTTTAGGGTTTAGGGTTTGTGTTTCAGGTGCAAATATAATATACATATGGCAAGACGCTGTACACCACAACTACAGACATTATCTCCTGAAAGAGGTGCAAACCCTAAACCCTCATAAACCCTAAACCCTAAACCCTCATAAACCCTAAACCCTAAACCCTCATGAACATTTAACTCGAAACCCTCACAAACCCTAAACCCTAAATATTTGCCTGTAAACCTTTGAGCTTTGTTTATGAGGGTTTAGGGTTTAGGGTTTAGGGTTTTGAGTCTGTTAGCACCGATATGCATGTCGATGGCTTTCAAGGGTTTAGGGTTTAGGGTTTAGGGTTTAGGGTTTAGGGTTTAGGGTTTGTGTGCTGCAGAAAACAAGAAAGGAATTAGCTGAGATGATTCGAGCAGCAAGAGAAGAGGGGAGGCTGCCTTCATCGCTAGACAGCAGCAGCAGCAGCAGCAGCAGCAGCAGCAGCAGCAGCAGCAGCAGCAGCGGCAGCAGCAGCAATGATTAGAGAACCTCAGCAAAATATCCACGGCTGAGGGTTTAGGGTTTAGGGTTTAGGGTTTACCGGCGGCGATATGCAAACTGCGGAGCAGCAGCAACTGCAGCAGCAGCAACTGCAGCAGCAGCAACTGCTGCAGCAGCAACTGCAGCAGCAGCAACTGCTGCAGCAGCAACTGCAGCAGCAACTGCAGCAGCAGCAACAGCAGCAGCAGCAACTGCAGCAGCAGCAACTGCAGCAGCAGCAACTGCAGCAGCAACAACTGCAGCAGCAACTGCAGCAGCAAGTGCAGCAGCAGCAACTGCAGCAGCAACAACTGCAGCAGCAACTGCAGCAACAGCTGCAGCAGCAATAGCAGCACAGAATACAGCTGGCTGCTGAGGGTTTTCTTTTGTTTCAAATTACCCGCAGCAGCAGCTGCAGCTGCAGCAGCAGCAGCAGCAGCAGCAGCAGCAGCAGCAGCAGCAGCAGCCGCTGCAGCAGACTGTAACAGAGACTGCAAGGTTGCAGCAGCAGCAGCAGCAGCAGCAGCAGCGGATGCAGCAGCGGGAACTGCAAACCACAAACTAGGGTTTAGGGTTTCGGGTTTTAAGGTTTATAAATACAACAGTGTTGTATTTAGGGTTTAGGGTTTATTAAGTAGTGACCGTCTAGGGTTTAGGGTTTAGCGTTTGGGGTTTAGGGTTTAGGGTTTAGGGTTTGGGGTTTAGTGGGAGGCAAGCAATGGTGGCCTGGTAGCGCAGTTCTAGGGTTTAGGGTTTAGGGTTTAGGGTTTAGAGGCGGGAGAGAACAGAAACCCTAAACCCTAAAGTATATGCATAGCTACATATATTTGTTTGTTTTTTTCTCTTCTCTCTAAACCCTAAACCCTAAACCCTAATCTTCGATGCCACCACCAAAGACAGCTGCTGCTGCTGTTGCTGCTGCTGCTGCTGCTGCTGCTGCTGCTGCTGCTGTTTCAGTGTTAGTAGTGTAGTTGACTCTGAAACTATAACAAATAACACTTTGCTGCTGCTGCTGCTGCTGCTGCTGCTGTTGCTGCTGCTGCTGCTGCTGCTGCTGCCATCGGCCAGGGTGGTTACGACCGCTGCTGCAGCAGCACCGGCAGCAGCAGCAGCAGCAGCAGCAGCAGCTGCTGCTGCTGCTGCTGCTGCAGTTCTTTGTGTGTGAAAAATAAATATAAATTTGAGTCTTCTTTTATTTATTAAGCAGACAAAACCGGCGTCTCTGCTGTTCTTTGTGTTTTCGTTGTCTTTGCTGCTGCTGCTGCTGCTGCTGCTGCTGCTGCTGCTGCTGCTGCAGCTGTACTCCTCGTGTCTGCTGTTATCGTACACCCCACAGCAGCAGCAACAGCAGCAGA